AACTTCAAGAAGACCTATCACATCGATGCCATAACTCCTTGAGCCTAAGTTCCCAAGGGTATGGTGATGAAAGAAATCAGAAATGATTTATATTATACAAATCTAGCACATGCTGCATGAAATTTTTTAGACATGTAATCCCTTTAAGTATTACCACTTTTTGGACCCAATATCAAGATTATGACGCCTAGAATGATGCTAGGTTTGGTTTTATTGTCTAGCACTTAGCAAGTTTCTAGTGTTGTACTTGCTACTAAGAAAATGTTTAGACCACATGTAGATCTAATCCTATTGTGCTAGGATGTGGTATCAAGTGTAGATTAAGAAAATGATGCCTGAGTGACACCTGACTGAAACTAGGTGGTATGTTTCCCATGCTAGTCTTCAAAGCGTATTATAGTCATCTTTCAACTTTAGGTAGACGTTTTGGCTTGTGCTACTAATGCCGCCACTACTTAAGATTAGGATGTTTTCTTGAGGGGTTTCCTAAAGTGTTTTTCTTAGTGCAATCAATTCTGCCTGATGCCTGTGAGGCTTCTTCGGGTAGGCATGCCTCCATACCATTGTTGAGTCTACTTAGGATTATTTCTTCAAAGGTGTGATGCGGAATCGCTATGGTGATATGTCAACTGTTTTGGTTGTTGCAGTCCCGAGCTCTTGTAGCCAATATGAAATCAACATGATAATCTACTTTTATTTTGATGTTAGAACTCCAATGGTGGCCTGGGCCTAGGTTTGCACAGATATGAGTGCGGGTCTGGACACGGATGTGGATGCGGGCAAGAGACACGATAAATTTGTAAAATGCAGGATGTAGAGACATGAGTATTTATATGTGTATATATATGATTTACATTAGATCAAATTTTGAATTAAAATACATATAACATTTGTATTTTTTAAAATTATTTCTAACAATTAAGAATCAAATTAAATCAAACTAAGAATTAAGGTTTCACAGTAAATGTTTAGTTTTGATCGCATGAGATACAGTGGTATTTTTCAAATCTTTAAATATTAGGTTTCATTTTTTGGGTTCAAAGGCAAATAAGTTTTTGATCCTGATATACCAAAGAAACTAGTAGGGTTATAAGTAATGGGAAATCAGTTTTGTTTTGAGCCACACATGTCCATAGCGTGTTCGCGCGAATCTGTGTCCGATACGGGACCTAAACGCAGTGTTTGGGTAACCTAGGCTTGGGATATATTTGAACATTAAGTTCTCTAATCCATCACATGGGGGCTAATGTGTCGGCCTTGTATAAATAGGCTTCATGAAAAATCATGATCTATCTATCCATGATATCCACAGGATTCAGATGTTCTCACTGTCATTACTCTTTTTCATCAGCCTCTTCACTAGTAGCCCTTTGGTCCTTTGTATTACTTTCATGCTATAGCTTTAAATAGCTTCCCCAGTGATTCCATAGACCCTAGTTTTCACCAAGGACTCGAATCTCGATAAACCTCATTAAATAGTTGTTCTACTTGATGCTAAAATATGTGCATCGTGCATATTTTACATTTACCCTCTTATGGAAATGCACCTTCCTAACTTTGTTTAGATTGTTTAACAAAAACATACACTGTCCAATAAACATGTATGGTACGATATTGTTAAAACATATAGTGACACCATTCAACTTCTATCCTGGCAATAGCCTTTCATATGTATATTAAAAAATTGGGTTTTTCTAATCTTAGACTCTCAAATCTTAACCCCAAATACATACATACATACACACACATGTTTTTCCAATGTGTCTTTCGTCCCTCCTTCGGGCTCAGAACAACACACACATACATGTTTTTCTAATGTGTCTTTCGTCCCTACTTCGGGCTCAGAACATAATCAATGTCTTCATCAAGGCATAAAGGCCCAAAACAATACATACATGTTTTTCCAATGTGTCTTTCGTCCCTCCTTTGGGCTCAGAACATAATCAATGTCTTCATCAATGCATAAAGGCCCAAAACAAAAAACTAAACTAATGCTAATAGTAAAGGAAGAGGTAACTACAATTGAAACTAAGCAAGGGATATTTTTCAAAACAAGTTAGAGATTTGAAGGTCTAATTTAGAAATGTGAAGATTTGAGGTCTAATGCGAAATTAACAAAGACTGTAGTAAAGGAAGAGGTAACTACAATTGAAACTAAGCAAGGGATATTTTTCAAAACAAGTTAGAGATTTGAGGGTCTAATTTAGAAATGTGAAGATTTGAGGTCTAATGCGAAATTAACAAAGACTGGGGTCTAATATGAACCAATGTTGAAAAAGGGTTATGTAACGCGTTATAACGCGTTTTATAACTTAATGCGAGGTTCATGCTACATAACTTGCGGATATAACTCATACACAATGTAACACAGCGTTTTTTTTTCTAAAAATTCCAAAAAAAGATTAAAACGCATAATCCAAAATAACCTCAGTTAGATGCACTTGATTTTTTGGAAACGTGGATTTAATATCCACCGTCCGTTATATACAAAAACCCATCCCTCTCTCACCCGAACTCTCTCACCTAATTCGCTGGTAGCCGCATCCCCAAAACCCTAATTCCCTCTCACCTGACTCTCTGGTCTTTGCTCGCTGCCTCCACCTTCGACGAGAACGAGATCTCTCCCTCCACCCCAATGAAGAAATCTCTCACTCCTCCACCCTGACGAACAACTCTCTCAGTCTCTACTACCACCCTCGACAAAATCTCTCTCCCGCCTTAATCTTCGACAAAATCTCTCTCTCCTTGACGACAAAATCATCTCGAGCACCTATCTCCATCATCAAGTTAATTTAGCTCATTTTGAGTCTCAAACATCTCCCGCTCGAACCTAAACAGTGAACCATCTCTCTCAAACTCCATCTTCCTCAGCTTGCACAATCATTCACCCATCTCCATGATCAAGTTAAAGCTTTGTTGCTTAGATTTTGATTGATTATAAGGTTAATTAGGCTTAATTTCATGAAAATTAGTTTGCAATTTGCATTATGCAATCACTGTATGTGCCAAATTTTTACTGTTTGATAATCATGCTTGGTCTTGGTTGATGTTGTGAACTTAAATTAAGGATATATTTGATCATTTGATGATGTCTTTTGGAATGATTGTTAGTCATATATGACTAATTTTTGTTAAAAAATTGTTATATTATATTTCTATATTTGATAATTGTGATGTTATGTTAGAAAAGTTTGATGATTCTAAGTATTAAAGTTTTTATGAATTGTTAGTATTTATAAAATATCTAAATAATTAGTAAACAATGTAACCTACGTTATGCGTTACGTTTTTTTGTGTTTTTCCTTAACACTTAACAGGAGGTAAGCATTACATAACCCATTTTCATTATTTTCAACATTGGAAAAAACCTTAAAAATTCTAACGTAGAGCACACCCTCTTGCAAATGCATACAGACTTGAAACATGTATGTTTTGTATAAAAATGTTTCACATGACTTCTAATGAGGATATCACCTAATTGATTACCATATATACTTTTGACAGGCTCCGAACCGGTACCATTTCATGACCTTCAATAATACCTTAATTGTCCAAGAAAATATGTGAAAAAAGTCAAGCAATATTCATGATGAACTGCCCAGTGTCAAGTGTGGTTGGTTTTGCATGTTGGTCAGTTGTAGAGCATATTCCGCCCAATTGCTCAGGGCAGTTAGGTACAAATGCCTTGAACTGAGGAAATGTTACTAAACCATTTAGGCTTGAAGAAAAATTCTTAAAAACATTGATACACAAATATAAGTTTTTAAAGGATTTGTCATGTTGCTATGCCGTAATATTCTACTTTTATGTTTTGACTATTATGTCATTCTCGTCCTTCTCATATGTATGATTCTATGCCCATGCTTCCTATGTTAATGATGACATCAAACTGGAACATAATCTTCAGCCTCTGCACTGCTTCTTGGCATCACAATAGATAAAGAAACAGTGTTGAGTTTAGGTTCTTGTTATATTTGTTTTTCCCCTTCTTTTTCTTCAATAAATTTTCTTTTGTTTAATACTTATTATTGCGTTCTCTATGAATGTAGGCAAAGGTAGAAGCTGCTTTTATGGATAAATGGTTGTTAATTAACCTGCAGTCGACTGAAGAGTTCAGCTCTCACATGGTAAACCTCAAATGAACACTCATGGATACCTTTTACATTTTATATGTACTTGAGAAGAGCTGATTTCAATTATACTTGCTTTAATCGCAAAGCTTAACCGGGACACATGGGCGAATGAAGCTGTGGCGCAAACAATTCGTACTAATTTCATATTCTGGCAGGTCTGTGTTTCAATTGTACTTGTAGACACACAGTAAATATTGCTTCCAGTGCTTTCATTTGTATTTGTACTTGTGGCATGACTGTTTTCTAAATTGCCATTAATAGCATGTTACCAAGGAAAATTGTCTTTCTGCCTTTTCAAGTTTTGTTGTTCCCTTTGAAGATTGTCTTAAGTCTTATGTGGTTCATCTTTTTTAACCCTGACGTTGTATTTGACTATTGTCGTTTTATGTGTTAGACAAACTGTGTACTCTTTGAATTTGTTTTTCCTTCATAGTTTCTTTTTAAACATTGTGTTCACAATATATGTTTATTCAATGTTGGAATCTGGGCATGGTAGCACTGTGGTGGTAAAAAGTTTTATCACTATTCTAGCACTTAGATGCATACATGGATCTGTCAGCTACAACTCGACAATTTCGGAATGTGTAGATTTAAGACATGCCAAAGTGATCCAGTCTGTAGCAACCTGAGAGGGAGCGTTTGAGTATTATGTGCAACTCACAGAGGCAAGAGGCTTTTTTTAAGGGTTCAGGCAAGAAGGTTTTCTTTTTTGGGGGTGTTCAAGTATTATGCCCATTTCCCCATGTATGATAAGTAACCTAAACAGCAAAGTCCTTACCACACTGTCCGTTATTGGTCAATATAATAGGAAATAGTCCCTCGTCCCTCTTAGAAAGTATTAACATCAGTTGGTAAGTGGTGGAAGGAAGCAGCAGAGTGAAAACGAACTTTCCAGGACATGTGGCACATCCCCATATTATGCCTCTTGGATGATAACTTTTTTATTATCAAAAAACCTTCACCACATTATTAATTTGTCCATACTTGATCAATGAAAATTGGAGATGTCAGCAGGAGAAATCTGTGGTTTTAACAACAGTACTATACTGTCCATTCTTGGTCAATAAAATAGGAGATTGTCACCATTAGAAAGTCTTAATATCAGTTGGTAAGTGGTGGAAGGAAGCAGGAGAGTGAAAACGAACTTGTCAGGACACATGGCACATCCCCATATTATGCCTCTTGAATGATAGCTATTTTATCATCAAAGGACCTTCACCACATTATTAAATTTGTCCATACTTGATCAATGAAAATTGGAGATGTCAGCAGAAGAAATCTGTGGTCCTAGCAACAGTACTTAGGTTGTGGAAGTAGCAGCGGAAATGAAAGAAATTGGAAGTTGTTTTGTGTGTGGAGAAACATCATTACATTTTGTCCATACTTGATGAATGAAATTGGAGACTGTCAACAGGAGAAATCCGTAGTCGTAACAACAGTACGTAGGTTGTGAAAGTAAGCAGCAGACTGAAAAATGGCACTTGGAAACAAAAGAAATTGGAAGTTATTAAACGTATAGATGATTGGAGCTAAACAAAGTTGTGGTTGTTTCGAATGAAATTTCTTTGGTAATGAGAAGTGTACAAAAATTAAACACAGTTTATTTGTAGAAATGGGATGTACTAATTCTCATGAAAAGCAAGACCTGATAAACTTTGACTAGTAAACTGGTTGAATGGATTGTAAAATTTATGGAGTATTTAGACGGATAAAAACGAAATCAAGTGGCTAACCCCTTTATATTGAGGTCAGACGTTGTAGACATGGACTATGGTAATCGAAGGAGTCAAAAATATAGAGAGAGAGAAACTCTCTCTTAATTTATACTATTTCAAAATAGATGGATTATAGAGGTACCCCTCTTGACACCGACACCTTCCAAGCTGGGTCACATCGCAAGTGCATTTCACTCTTGACTCACCAGTGGTTTGTCACTAGATTAGCTAGCTAATCATGTGATGTCACATACTATCTTAATAACTTCCTCCAAGACTTTAGCTTAAACAGAACAACAATCAATCTCAATATGCTTTATCCTCTAATTGAAGACAATATAAATGCATCTTGATTATTAACAAAGTCATAGGATATGAATGATCGGAGCTAAGTTCTTGTGACAAATACTTTAACCGACATGAGTTGAAAGGAACTCTATCCATCTGCATTTATATTGTCTGCCTGCTTCACTTTGGAGAATATATTGAAGGGTCTGTGGGGTTTATCCGGTTGCAGAAACTAGTATATATCTAAAATTTTCTATGGCTTGCATGATTTAGCGTACTTGCATGTGTACGAACAACTTAAGCATAACAACAACAAAGCATGTCCTTAAAATTATATGGGTCGGTATGCATGCATAAGCTTCCATAAAATCCTTGCTAAGAAAGCCTAGCCAAAACCATTGGTTGGTTATACGAATGAGTAAGGTTATGTAGACCATCATTGTCAAGCAAGCTGGGCCGACATACTCAACAAAGAATGAATTTTGCATACAGAAAGATAAAAGTGATCCTTCTTCTGTCATTTGATTCATATCAGGTATATAATGACTCTAGTGAAGGGAAGAAGGTGTGTACCTATTATCACCTGGTTTCCATTCCTGCAATTCTCATAATCGATCCTGTGACTGGACAAAAAATGCGTGCGTGGAGTGGCATGATACAGCCGGATCGCTTGTTGGAGGTAATGAATAATGAGTACGCAAAGGTTTATGTTGGAAGAATATTGCATTTCTAATGTAGAGGAACACGTATCCCTCTTTTGTCTATTTTAGTGTTGAATCAATATTTCTTTGTGTAGGATTTACTTCCCTATTTGGAGAGGGGTCCAAAAGACCATCATGTTGCACAGCCTCTCAAACGTCGAAGAGAGGTTTCTCAAGATTCTATACTCCACACTCCAGGTATGCAGGGTGTCTAAAGCTGTATCTGCATGTTCAATATGTCTCCTATTTCAAATATAATCTATTTACCATGCCAATGAGTGCTTGAGAATGTTCTAGCACTATAAAAATGGCTGATAGCTGCTATCCTTCATTTTCATGTTGGTGTTTTTCCTCTGCTATTTGTTAGATAAGCCTGCACCAGGTTGTGTAAGCCAGTTCTCTGTCATCATAAATGGCGCTTTGCCTTTTAATTTTTGGATTTGGATCCTCTCCACTACCAAAAACTAGTGGGGAGACCATTACTTTTGATCACAACCTTCTATTAATTAGTTGACGATTGTGATTCATCTTGAGTGAGAAGTGGAATGAGTGTAATATAAGGATATGATATTAGCCAAGATTGAATTTAATCAATAGCGTGTACTGCAGATCAGGTGTTTTTTTATTAACAGTATGGTCTCCGCACTAGTTTGTGGTTGTCAGATGATCCAAAATTTTAATTATCGCCGTAAAATCTCTGTTATAATTTTTGAGAAAATCACTAATCAACTTTAAGCCTCTAGTTTTGCTACATTTCAGAATTTCAGAGATATGTTAGAGTTCTACTAGTTCTACTCGGATGAGATCCATATAGGACTTTTCGACGATCATGAAAGAGGCTTGACCTCATTCTAGGAATTAGTTAAGGGGCCTCTCTCAATGCTTGTTTTGGATTCGTACATGGATTAATCTGTATAAGTTCAGAATTATTGTATTTTGAAAGAGGAAAAAAGAGCATTATAATTAAATTAAAATAGTTGATTTTTAAGCATATGTGTGGATAATGTTTTAAGCACGTGTGTGTGGGTTGTTGCAACATTCCTTTTTATCTGCTGCCTGTTTCACTGAAGCTACCGTGCAATCCCCTTTAGCGATTGGGTTGGAGAGTCGAATTTTATCTCTCTTTCCTTTTTGTTAACTTCCATCTGATTCTTTCCAAATGTCTACTTGTGATTAGAGATCAACTTCTTCAACCTTGCTACATCACTGCTGATATCCATTGTCTCCATTTAGTCAATCACGCTGATACATTTAATTTGGTTGTAAGGTTAAAGAGAGAATATTCTGCTAATGGGTATGTATTAGAGCCTATCTTACTCGAATTCACCATTGGTTGCTGCAGTTTGTTGACAATAATAGTAGCATAAGTACCCTTCCCCTTTTTTACGTGCCTTGAAAGAATAGTAGCAACTAAACAACAAAAGGAAGCCCTTTAAGTCAGTCGTTTTCAAGGTTTTAGGCATTCCTAATTCACCATGATTTACTTGTAGATAAAACAACCGAAGAAGTGAAGAGGTGCAAGCGGCAACTGGCATGCTTCTAGTGGAGCGGTATTAGAAACAGATTCCAATAGGAGTCCTCTGGCCACAGCGAGGAGCCCAAAACCGAGAATGAAGCTGAGACTAGCTCGATCGCAAAGCCCTCTTATCCTCCTCTACCTGAAGAACCTAAAGGCAGCAGGGAACTTCTTTGTAGAGTTGGAGTTCGCCTCCCAGATGGAAGAAGAGTCCAAAGGAATTTTCTTCGAACAGACTCTATCAAGGTAGATATAAGAAAAATGGTTTTTCAGATATTAATCCTCAAATATTCAAGAATTCCATATTAGTCTCTCAAATCTTTAAAATTGCTCACAAGTCCCTCAAGTCCAAAGGGGTCTTGTAGATTGGTCCCTCACAAAAAAAAAAAATAAAAATAAAAATAAAAAAATAAAATAAAAAATAAATAAAAAAAATAAAAAATAAAAAATAAAAAAATAAAAGAAAAGGAAAAAATATCTTTGTGTTCACAAAAACATAAGCTTAGGGCCATGTTGCTATTTGGGGAGCAATTTGCAAGACAAGATTTGAGGGACTAATATCTGGAAAACCCAAAAAAGAACCTATAGAGCGCCTTTATAGAAAATCATATAGGGAAATAGGGGAATGCTTGATCTAGCAAAATTTTGATGCACATCACTATCAACTATCAGTGTAGTCAGTATTGCATAGTGCATAGCAATGCAATACATCAATGCAGACTCTTTCATGCAGTCCGCACAGATACACTGATACACAGTACCGACTGCTTGATAGTAGGTGGTGATGTATGCATCAAGAATCGTGTTAGGCTGTATATCTTCATCCATGATTTTTTGTATAGTTGGCCCTCTATAGGATTTATTCTCTCCTAGGTATATATCAAAAGCCTAAACTTATCCATATATCTATCTCTGTGGTAATCTGCCCTTCTCCATCATTGTCAATACGCAGCTCTTATGGTCCTTCTGCTGCTCCCTCCTGGAGGATGGCGAAACTCGTCCTTTTCACTTTACACAAGCAATTCCTGGCGTATCAAAGAGCCTTGATTATGACAGCGAACAAACTTTTGAAGAAGCAGGCTTATCAAATTCGATGCTCTCTATGGCGTGGGATTGAGGAATAGTAAACAAACCTTTGCGATTATGGTTTCTTTTGTGAACTTTTGTTCTTTTGGGGGCAAACAAAATTGATTCATTAACTTATTGCGAGTAATTATCGACAAATATACTTGTAAGTTAGTCTCTGAATCTTGTTAGTTTCTGAATCTTGAAGATTGTATAAAGTATAATTTTTGTTTATTAAGAAGCAGGTTTATCAAATTCGATGCTCTCTATTGTGTGGGATTGAGGAATAGTAAACAAGCCTTTGCGCTATGGATTCTTTTGTGAACCTTCGTTCTTTTGGGGCAAACAAAATTGATTCATTAACTTATTGCAATTTATTATTGACAAATATACTTGTAAGTCAGTCTCTGAATCTTGTCAGTCTCTGAATCTTAAAGATTATATAAAGTATAATTTTTGTTTATTATGTTTATAAATGTTACAGGGTTAGTTGTATAGCAACTTTAGAAATGCATTGCTGGTGAACCATCCTATGTGTGCTTTTCTAACCTGGTACTCTAATCATAAGCGTTTACTGCTTCGAGTTGATCTACATTACTTCTGTGAATCAAGGGAAAATCATTTTTATTCTGGTAAATTTGTGATTTTGAAAGTGTTTAATTTAGAGTGTTTTGCAAGAGTCTGTGGAAATTTGTTATATTTATGCTAATATATACGTCAACGCGGTGAATTTTTGTGAGTAATATTACTTTAGATTGTATGGTCGTGTTAGCATTGATTGAAGAGAGAAAAACAGATTGGATAAGTTTTGATCCTACTTATCAATTGAACTTGTATGATGTGATTATATCTAACAATTGTGTGTGTTTTTTTTAATTAAATCCAGTAATTTGCGCGCATGAGCTCTTTTCACTAAAAATAATTACATACCATTAGATCCCCATAAAACTTTCAGCCTGTGGCACCAAAACCCCAACGAACTTTCAAAATCACACTAAACCCCAACAGAATTTTTTGGACTTGTAGAAAACTCCTACGAACTTTTAGACTTTTGCAGATAACCCCCAAACGGTGGTAGTTTACTTTTTGTGTGGATTAAAATACCCCAACCTAAAAAAAGAACCTTCCTCTTAAAATCTTATAACCCCTTTACCTTTTAAATAATGTTAGGGGCACACCCCCTAACACACCACCAACCACACCCCCCTCTCCCATCGCTACAGTAAACCTATTTATGATTAGGGCTGAATATATAGAAAAATGCCATAAATGGAATTTTTAATAAGTTAAAGGGTCTTTTGTAGTCACGGGCATTCCTCAGGGCCAAGTTTGACTTAACATTGGTAAGTATGGAGGTTTTCTGCAAAAGTTCGATGGGGTTTAGTGTGATTTTGAAATCGTTGGGGTTAAGTGCAAAAGGCTGAAAGTTCAAGGGGGTTTAGTGTAATTTACCCAACAGATAACTACAGAGAGGATGGAAATGGGTCCGTGTGGAAGTTGAGTATTATCGCGACCACTCTGGTTTTTTTTTTCTGATGCCATTTCCGTGCGCATCCGCCTTCAGTCTCCAAACACTGAGTGCATAACAAGCGTTCGTGGTCAAAACTCGCCGAGTAATTCAATTTCCTTCTCACTAGCTGTTCGGGTTTAGCTCTTGCAGCTGACCTTTCGATTGAAGCTGCACCGCGAGTGACAGAATCTAGTTCTCACGAGAGAGAGGAGAGTGCAAGGAGCGGTGACGGGATCCTCGGTAGGGGATGGACGGAGGCGGTGACCGAGCGTCTGAGGATGGGGTGGCGTGCTCATAATCAGTAGTAGTTCCGTCATTTTCGGCAGGCGCCGCACCGCCACGGAAAAGACACTTTCGGCCCTACTCTGAGAGTGCCCACCTTGAATTTGGTATGCATACGATTTTCTAGTGGAGGCTCAATTTGTGAGCTCAACAGAGCAGAGATGAATGAATGCATCTAATACTCCTGAAGGGGTACCGATCCAGAAGACGATTTTCCTGAAGGGGAAGAAGGTGATAATGAAAACCCATCGGATGAAGATGATGGGAACGAGGATGAAGATGAACAAAGAGGAGAGTGTTTAAGAGATTCCGCAGCTTCTATGTGGCAAGATTATAATGCATGATTAATGTAATATATATCTTGTGTTGTAATCTCTATTTGTCTTGAACTTGATAATTGTTGGTTTTATGTTTAATATTTGTGTTGTGTTTGATGATTGTAAGACTAATGTTTTCTATTTCTATTGTACTTAATGACTGGAATTATTTATCTTTCGTGATAATAGTATAATCTATCATTTAAATTTCTTCATAGACTTGTTAATAATTTCCTTGTATATTTGCTAAGATTATTGTGTAAAATAGGAATGTAATTGTATATTTTCTAACATTATTGTGTAAATTAGGAATGTCAAAAAGAAGGTCTACAGATGGTGATTCTTCTAGGGGAGGAAATCACATCTCTTTGGTGTGGATTTCTGCTATGGATGAGAAGTTAATTGAAGCTCTTTTGCATCAAGATGTGATTGGAAACCGAGTAAATTCCGTCTTTTCAACATCGGCTTACAATCAAATAGTGGTTGAACTCCAAGAAATATTTCCTGATAAGCCAATTGATAGGGATAAGGCGAAAAATCGTGTGAAATATATGAAGTCAAAATGGGCAGCTTGCTATGACTTGTTTAAGAATGCGGGCAACGACTTTGCTTGGAATCGGAACACTAACATGTGGAGCGCGAAACCAGAAGTATGGGATCGACAAATTCAGGTAATTGAAAAATAACTACACACAATCATTATAATGTGGGAATAAACTGAGATAGCATGCATGGTTTTTCAATCATTCTACATTTTCTAAAGTTGACATTATAATGTGGGAATAAACTGAGATAGCATGCATGGTTTTTCAATCATTCTACATTTTCTAAAGTTGAAGCTGTAACTTTTTAACTGTAATCTTGTTGATGCATGGTTTTTCAATCATTCTACATTTTCTAAAGTTGAAGCTGTAACTTTTTAACTGTAATCTTGTTGTATGTTGTGAAAAATCCCAATTTTATTTGTATGATCTCTGATATTGATTCATGACAATATAATGACGTACTCTTAGCTTCTGCTAAATGAAGGGATATTAAATTCTTTAAATTGGTTTTACTGTAATAAAATGTGGACATGTTTTTTTGTAAAAATTACCAAGTACCAACCAATTTATTTCAAATTTATCTGACTGAACTGATGTGTTATTGTCATGATGAAGTTACAATTTTGCAAAACTTGCAATTTGTCCTACAAATATAGGGACCATGATGAACCTACAGTTCTGTTTAAAATGCCTTCAAAGTGTAATAGATTATGCTCCTAGAGTATGAGATTGAAGGTTATTGCGATCTTATGCATCAATTGTCAGTCACTTGACATCTTTTTAAAGCCTGCTTTCTTTATTTTGAAAAGCCTAAGGATATTCTTGTGTTTTGACTTCTTAAACCTATCGTCTTAGTTGCTTCTTTAATTTCAGCTGGCACTGTACTAATTTATATGTGAGTAGAGTTTAGTCGTGTAAGCAAATATTTACTTGTGCAGTTTGGTCATGAAACTCTCTGAGTGTTTCAGCCATGGCTGAAACTTCCTGAGTGTTTCAGCAATGGCTGAAACTCTTTCTAAAGAGTTCCAGCCATGGCTGAAGCTCAGTTTTTAGTGTTTCAGCCATGGTTTTTAGTGTTTTAGTGTTTCAGTCATGGTTGTCACATTGTTCACATGACTTAAAGCTCTACTTAAAAAAATAGCGTTTCTGTTAACATCATCCACGCTTACCAATCATTTTATTTGGAATTCATTTTCAGGCTCATCCAGAAGCTGCTGAATGGAGGACCAAGACTATTTAAAATTACGATAAATTACTTTTGCTTTTTGTAGCTGATAGAGCAACAAGAGAGCATGCCAAAACTATGGCTGAGTTACTAGAGAGAAGGCGGGCTTGTACTGATACTAACGAGGTTGATGTTGATCTTACAATTAATGGCATTGATGAAATGTTTCTAGGGAGGAAATCATCTTGGAGGGTATTGATGGTAACCAAGAAGCAATTGGCAAAGAAGACTTTCTGGGGCTGCAACGGAGACTAGGTCAACAGCAAATTAACTGAAGAAGAGCAAAAAGTCAAAGGAGGATGTTGGTCCTGAAAAACATTATAATGGCATAGAAAAAGTGGCTGAAGCAATGCTTGCAAGTGCTGAGGTATTCAACAAGGCTCGGGAAAATACTATAATTAAAACGGATGATCTTTGGAGTCTTTTGGTTGAGATTGGGGTCGACGACGAACACATTGATGATGCATATATATTCCTACTTAATTCTCCAGAGAATCTAAGGGGGGTACTTGGATGTCCAAGAGAGAGACAAAAGAAAATACTCGCGAGGATGATGCATATGGCATCTATGCCACCCCCACCTCATTATTAGCTTCCTACCTATTCATCTTTAATATTTTGGTTTTTCACTTTTGATAGATGCTTTTGGGTATTTGGTGGCAATTATAGCTTCTTGTCACTTTTTGGTTATTATATGGCAATTACAAATTTGTTACTGAATTATAGATGTTTATGATAAACTTGGAATATTTGATGACTATTGTAACTTCTTGTCATTTTTTGGTTACTGTATGGCAATTACAAACTTGTTGCCGAATTATGGATGCTTATGACAAACTTGGAATATTTGATGGCTATTGTAACTTCTTGTCACTTTTTGTTTATTGTATGGCGATTACAAACTTGTTGCCGATTTATGGATGCTTATAGCAAACTTGGAACATTTGTTGTTGACTTTTGTTAAATACATGTGGAAAAATTGGTTGGAGAATTGGTGTTTATGTTTTGATAAGATACATCGTTTGTTTTGTCAATTTATGCTGTGTGTATTGATTTGATAAGATCATGTGCTATTAGTATAAGAACAAAACACTATCCCTTTGGTGTTTATAAATTTCATGAGTTTATGTTATATGAAAAGTTTAAAAAGAACAAAGCACTCCCTTTGGTGTTTATAAATTTCATGAGTTTATGTTATATGAAAAGTTTAAAAAGAACAAAGCACTGTCCCTTTGGTGTTTATAAATTTCTTCATGAGTTTATGTTATATGAAAAGTTTAAAAAGAACAAAGCACTGTCCCTTTGGTGTTTATAAATTTCATAAGTTTATATTTTATTTTTATCATTTGTTATTAGGTAAAATGTTTTAATACCATACAAAGGTCATTTGTGTAATTTTATATATATTTTCTTTCCTTCCCTTCCCTCTATTAGTACTCCCAAACAAGTTATATAAATTCACCTTCATTAACCTTACTCAACTCCCAAACAATATATTACTGTGAGTGGGGTCCACCTTCACAAGTGAAGAGATAGAAGGGAGCGGAAGGCTATCTCGTGATAGCGTCAAGTGGGGGCCACGAATTTGTTCATGGGAGAGGACCTGTAGTTTTCGAGTTCTGCGTGAAGAGACCACGCTCACATGATCAATTGCTGGCCCACCCGAATGCCCATTGCCCACCCGTATTCCACTTTGCAGCTATAAATAGGGACCCTAGTTTCACCTAGGGTTGTGTGCAAGAGTGAAAAGAAAAATCGCAGAGAGAATTTTTTTTAGGCTGACCTTTTTTGAGAAGAAAAGCAGGGAGCCTATTTTGAGGGTTTAACTTGAGAAAACTGTATGATTATAAATCCTATTTGCATTCTTTTTTCCTCTAATAGTAGATCTCCCCTCCTTATCCTGTGGACGTAGGTAATTTGCCAAACCACGTTAAAATTGATTGTTCGTGCTGTAATTTGTAATAGAGAGTTTAGGTTCCCTCGACAGACCAGTCCTAGAACTGATGAGAGGAAGAGCTGATATCTCACTTTGTTGAGATATTTTGCTTTTGGTTCATGTTTCCTTTGTGAAACATGGATTTAGTTGAGACTTACTCTCTTGTCATGCACCAGAGGTACTGTCGAAATTTCCGCTGCGCACAACAAGTGATATCAGAGGTCAGGTTACGCTTGGGCAATTTGGAGGAGTAAATCGCTTTGGAAGCTCGTCTAGGGTTTCAATTGGAGTTAAATATAGGATCCTTTTGGTAAAGGCTCTATCTTTTTCAAGTTTGGATCTATTCTTTAGTTTGTTCCCCATTGGTTATTGGTGTGTTGAGGAATATGGTCGGGAAAGAAGGTGTTGAGGGTGGTGCTTCTGGTGTAAAGACCATTCAAAATTTGAATATCCACTCTACGAAGATAGATATGGAGAAGTTTAATAGCACGAACAACTTTGGACTTTGGTGATGCGAAGTTTTGAATGCGCTGAACGCGCAAAATTTAAAAGACACTTTGGAGTTGGATGACAAAGCAGATGATATTAAAGAGAAGGTTTGGAAAAGATGAATCGGACGGCGTGTTGTGTTATTAGGTCTTGTTTAACACAAGATTTAAAGTATGATGTGATGAATGAGACTTATGCAAAGAAGATTTGGGAGATCCTTGAGAGCAAGTATTTGACCAAGAGTGTGAAAAATCACTTGCATTTGAAGATGAGGCTTTATCGCTTCCAATTGAAGAAGGGAACCTCCATTAGTGACTACACGAAGCTTCTTGAGGCTTTAGCAAATATGAATGTTATAATCGAGGATGAGGACAAAGCATTATTATTATTGAGTTCCTTTCCTGATGAGGAATAAGAGACCTTTGTTCTTACCCTAATTAATGGGAAGACATCCCTTTCGTATAGTGAGGTCACCGCTGTACTTGTGAACTATCAGCTTCGAAAGAAGGATAATGAGGCTTCAGTTGAGCCGGTAGCGGAGGCATTGATCACAAGAGGTAAGAATCCAAACTGAAAGAATTAGAAGTCATAGTCCAGAGGGCATCCTACAGTTGGAAAAGATCAGTGTGCTTAGTGCAAGGAGACTGGTCATTGGACGAAAGATTGTCCAAAGCTCGACGAATGGATGAAGAATAAGCAGAAGGGAAAAGGGAAGCAACCATCATCAGAATGGATGAAGAATAAGCAGAAGGGAAAAGGGAAGCAACCATCATCAGAAGCAAACATCGTTATATCAGATGGTAATATTTTAGGGAAAAGGGAAGCAACCATCATCAGAAGCAAACATCGTTATATCAGATGGTAATATTTTTGATACTTTCATTTATTCGCTTTCTAGCAATCCTACAGGTAGCTATTCGGAGGAATCCAAGTGGATGTTGGATAATGGTGCGACCTATCATGTGTGTTCTAGAAAGGAATGGTTCTCCAGTTTTGAGAAACTAGATAGTGGTGTGGAGTTCATGGGAGATAACCATGCATGTCAGATCCTTGGGATAGGAAGAATTTGCATTAAGATGTTTGATGGGATTGTTAGAGAGTTACATGATGTGAGATATGTCCCTTCCTTGAGGAAGAACTTGATCTCAATTAGAGCATTGGTTAGAGAGGGTCTGAAGGTTCGTGTTGAGGACATGGTTCTTGAGATCGTGGAAGACTCTTTGATTGTGATGAAGGGCGTCAGGAGAAATAACCTGTACTATTTGATTGGAGATACAGTGACAGGTAGAGAGCTGACGACTTCTGTTGATTCGACTAGACTGCGGTATTTGGTGCTTAGTCATTCCAGTATTGATTTGGAGATGGGTGCAACGACCTACAATTTAAAATCCAGTGAACACTTTGGTGTGAGCAAGAAGACCAAAGTGAAGTTTAGCACCTCTATTCACCGCACAGAGGGTCTTTCAGATGAGGTTCACATGGATGTTTGGGGGCCTTCTAAAGAGGCATCATTAGGAGGAAATAGATATTTGGTTTTCTTTGTTGGTGATTGTTCTAGGCGTGTTTGGGTTGCAATCAAACCCCCTTTGGATAAAGTCCTATTAGTCTCCAACAGATTGAAGAAGTGTGTGATAGACAGAAAGGTGAATGTACTTCATTCTGATTTTAGTGGGAGGTACAAGATGGATCTGTTTTTGTATTGGAACCGAGCTCACGACATTTCGAGATACTTCGTTGGAAAGGAAATCTTAGGGCAACTAGATAGGGTGGTAAATTTGGAGAACCATGCCTTTCTGGAGGAGGATCGGTGTTTGTTGTCAAACAATGGTCTGCAAAAGAGTTTCTAGATTGAGGCTTCGACATATTTGGATCATCCTATTAAAGAGTTATCTACTGCTGTGATTGGAGGTAAAACTCAATTGGATATTTGGTTTGGTAATGTCACATTGGATGAGGCTTCGATGAGGCGGGAGCATATTGACTCTCAGCAGGTGGAGAGTTTTGGACAGGTCATAGAGGTATCACAGCAAGTGGAGAGTGATGCTACTTCATATTGGGTGGAGATTACTCCACATTCTCTAGATCATTCTGTATTGTTTGAGATTCCAGCTGAGGTGACATAGCTTGGGGATCAATTGGTTTTGGATGCAGATGATGAGTCGGGTTTTGATTCGAGCGCAGCTGATAGATGTAGTTTGGATATGATCATTAGTTCACCTCAGGTGGAGATGTTTGATTCGTTACACTTTGAGGTCATTGGAGGTGCTATCAGCCACAGAGTTGATGATATTGGAGGAGGGTTACGAACTCTTCTATTGGATTGAGGTCATTCGCGGCTATTTGGGTGAACTACGTGAAGGCTTGATTCCTTGGGCAAGAGGATACGTAGGCAGTCATTTTATGATATAGCCGATTTGGTGAGTTGATACCGACATTTGGAGAGTGTTCGCATTCTTATTTGGGTCTCGACTTGTTGTGGATTGAGTCCGTTATCGTGAATTATTTCACTTCGTACTAGACGCAACAAGTGAGACATTTAGTTTGGTTGGTGTCGGCTCAGTTTTGAGAAAACTTCACCGAGGTGAAGAATTGTGAGTGTGGCCCACCTTCACAAGTAAAGAGATAGAAGGGAGCAGAAGGCTGTCTCCTGATAGCATCAAGTGGGGGCCACAAATTTGTTCGTGGGAGAGGACCTGTAGTTTTCGAGTTTCGCGTGAAGAGATCGTGTTCACATGATCAGTTGCTGGCCCACCCGAATGCCCATTGCCCACCCGTATCCTACTTTGCAGCTATAAATAGGGACCCTAGTTTCGCCTAGGGTTGTGTGCAAGAGTGAGCGGGGGAAAATTTTCAGGGGCTGTGCTTGGTGAAAAAGTGCAGGCAGAGGAAAAGAAAAATCGCAAAGAGAAAA